CGCTCGATCGTACCTTGCCTTCATGCGGTTGCTAACCATTTTTATTCGATGGCGAACTGCATCGTGGACTTTACTAAAAGAGTTTTGACTGTCTTCATCTTGGCTCACATCGTCGTTTGGGGTAGTACCGAATATCAAATCGCCAGGTAGCTTTAATTCATTTCCGAACAGAACTTTGGCTGGGGTCCGGGATGTGGAATCATGAATGGCCGATCTATAAGCCAGTAAAAACTTTGGAATATGCTCATCCCAGTCTCGTTGGCCACTGTCCACCACTTTCCCTAGATGTCCTTCCAGGGTGCGATTGAATCTTTCCACCATGACATCTGATTGTGGATGTAGGGGCGTCGTTCTGGTTTTCTTGATTCCGTAGGAGTCACACATTTCCTTGAAGATCGCTGATTCAAAATTCCTACCTTGATCGGAATGAACCTCAGATGGAACACCATAGCGACAAATTTTTGCTGAACACATCCACAATTGTCCTGGCTTCTTGATTTGGGATAGCATAAACCTCTGGCCATTTGCTGAAGTAATCCATGACCACTAAGACATACCGGTTCCCAGAGTCGCTTATTGGGAACGGTCCAGCTACATCCATTGCGATTCTTTTAAAAGGGACTCCTGAATTATACTGCTGCATGTAACCTCGGCTCTTCCGTGTTGGACCTTTAGCTCTTATGCACCTTTCACAATTGCCGATCCAGTCGGCAATGGATTTTTGACAGCCGACCAGTAGAATCTCTGCTTTACCTTTTCAGCGGTCTTTGCTATGCCAAGATGTCCTCCACTTGGCCCATCGTGAAACTCCGACAAGACATCTCTTATTTAGGAGTCTGGGACGACGATCAAGTTCCGGTGAGATTTACCGTCCTCACTTTCCCATTTGCGATATAAGCAACCATCTATTATAAGCAGACTGTCCCACTGGGCCCAATAGGATTTTAAAAGAGGTCTTTCGGAGGTAATTTCTTTGCGACTAGGTCGCTTGCCCGTTTCTATAGCCGAAATTACTTTGCCCAGAATGGGATCTCTTCGATGTTCCGTCGACCAATCTTCACCCGACTCAAACTGCAATAGTCGGACATCAACGACTATTCTCAGCCTTTGAGCAATGCCTGCATTCTACCTTGCATGGCCGACGAGACAGGGCATCAGCATTACCGTGTTTTCCGCCTTTTCTGTGCTCGATTCTGAAGTCATAACTCTGGAGCCTCTCGATCCAACGGGCTAGTTGACCTTCCGGATTCTTAAACTGCAGCAGCCATTGGAGAGCAGCGTGGTCGGTCCTCAGTAGGAAATGCAGGCCATATATGTGGTAGTGTTTAACGCTCTCAAGGATAGCAAGCAGCTCTCTCCTCGTCACACAGTAATTCCTCTCAGGCTTCGACAATGTCCGGCTGTAGTACTCGATGACTTTTTCCTGTCCGTCGATTTCCTGGGAAAGGACGCCACCGATGCCGCACGCACTTGCGTCTGTGTCCAGAGTAAACTTGCCGCCAGGTATAGGGTATGCCGAAATGGGGGCTCTGCATAGCATGTCTTTGAGCTTTCTGAATGCCTCTTCTTGGTCGTTGCCCCACTGAAACCTCTGGCCTTTTTGCGTCAAGCGGTGTAGACAAGCGCCGATGTTGGCAAAATTTGGGACAAATCGACGCGGGCTCCCCCGTTGCTGTGCGCAGTCTGACTCCATTAACTTGCGTTATTTTTCCCTTTACCAGATCTGATCTTATGATGGACTTTGATGCGCCAGTATCTAACGTCAGAACTCGCTTGTCACCATTGATGTACCCAGTTGTTGTTAGGTTGTGACTTTTCTGTTGTACTATTGCTATGGAGATTGTGGGGCCATCGTCGATGGGAGCCAGTTCATGCCCCGCTGGACTGGCTCCATTTAGTTTAACGGTGACTCATTGGTGGACTGTTGTCTTCTACCATCTTTCGTTGGAGGTGGTGACAATGACCTGGATCGTTTGTGCTTAGCTCTGCATTCGCGCGCAATATGACCTGCTTTATGGCAGTTGTTTCTTTGTTTCTTCTATTACCTGCTTCATGCCCTGCGTCCTTGATCGAGTTAACGAGAGATTTGGGTTCGCAACATTCGGTCTCCAGTTGGCGAATCTTGTGGGTCTGGGTTTAATAATTATTCTTGCCGTCTCTTGGGCAAGGGCAAACCACACGGTTTCGGCAAATGACGCTTTTGGTGACGCATATGTTGCACATTTAATCTCAGGGTCACGTATGACATTCACAAAGGTTTCGATTTTCATACGGTCCACCAATGGGTGATTCTCTCCTGGGTACGTCATTAGCACCAAACGTTCCACCTCAGCTGCAAAGTCTTGTAACATCTCGTTTGCCCTCTGTACTCTTCCCCTTAATTCCATAAGGTAGATGTTTCGTTTATGTTCGCCACCGTACTTACGTTCCAGAGCAGCAATAACATCTTCATAGTAGTTTCTAGAAGCGACAGGAATACTCTGCATAACATCAGCAGCACTGCCCTTCAATGCCAGAAGTAGTGCAACCGCTTTGTCGCTGTCGTTCCACGAATTTCTAGAAGCCACTGTCTCGAACTGTAACTTGAAAACATTGAATGACGTAGAGCCGTCTAATATAGGAGGTTTGATTTTTAGTGTGTTATCAGAAACTCGCACCGGACCACCTTTAATTTTCAGTTCCGACATTTTCTTCTCCAGATTCGTAAACCTGTGGTCGTGGGCCAGAAATTTCTTATCCACAGACAGAATCTTCTCGTCAACCGACTGCACTTTCTTATCCAACTTTTTAATTTGGACCTCCACGGTTTCCACTCTCCTTCCAATAACTTCTGTAATGTTCTTCAGTTTCTCGATCATTCTACAATTCTCTGCCTTGAGTTCATCTAACTTTCTGGAATTCTCTTCGAACATTCGTCTCGTGTTTTCTTCTAACTTTCTGGAATTCTCTTCGCTCCTTCTGGAATTTTCCTCAAACATTTTAGCCAGCATTTCTCTGAAATCGTCAACCCTGGCAGCTGCTGACGAGACTTCTCCACCGTTGGATTCGCCCATTTCCGATAAATCCACTTCATCCTTACTGTCAAACTCATATGTATCGATGTTCATACCACGGCGCTCGAACTCATCCAACAGACGTTTTTATAGTTCAGCCTTGTTGCCAGTAGAGGACAATTCCAATTTATTGAGCTCCTTCTTCCACTCGTAGATCCTTAAACTTCATCGTAGTATTATCGTAATCTCACTTCCGACACCAATTGTTACGTTCTTGGATTTTACTTAATCCCGTGTAGACGTTGTTTTATTTCCCAATACAGTTCGTACTAAATAAAACGCGGGTTCTTTCTGATTACGATTCTTACAATGATTTTATTGACACAACTTTACTTTGCACGTTACTTTATAGCTATACGTTACTTGACTGTTTCAATTCGCGATCTGATTCACAACTGACTAACTGCCTTGCCATTTCCCCTATTTATATGAGCCTTGCCTGTCGCTACAGAAGTTTCTAGACGATCTGGTAATACCTAGATTACGAACAATCTACCAATGCACAAACACATACAAACTTACATTGAGTGAACAATAACAACAACACATATACAGGCGAGGGGGTAACAAAGAAAGAGGAATTAATCGATCATCAATGATGACGTTTAACAAGAATTTTACGTCAATAACAAAATAGAAAATGAAAGTGGGAATGGAAGGATGTAGAAAAATCTATACAGTAGTTGTTGTTGTGAAGTTATTCGAATAAACTGCGTAGTAGAAATTTACGTTACAATTCAAATTCTTAAATTAACGAATTCATCTAAATTAACTTAAATCTAAAGTTATATTCGTAACAATATGTTTTTTTTATTGAACGCATTTCGTAACATATTGAACACAGCTATGCTTTCGAGCCGCACTTTCGCTCGAAATTGATCACACCATTTTGAACAACATGGGAATTTAAAAAAAGTATGGGAATTCAAAAACTCTCGGAACATGTCACATGGGCGACTATTTCCAACATTTCGGCCGGTACCACATGATCAAATGTTTCAAAGTTTTCAATTGAAGCGGGCTGTCTGTATAGACATGAGCCTTAACATAGCCCCACAAAATAGTCTAAATAGTCCTCTTTCATGAATGTTTTATATCGATTAAATGGCTGAGCCACACATTTCACAATCTACGTGTCAAAGTCAAAGTGAAGGCATACTTTTGTATATTTTTTTCGAAAGTTCTACTGATTTTTTGAAGCTGGATTTTTTTTTATTACTTTATAGAAATTATCCGTCTTTTAGGAGAATCCGTTCACTTAAATGCAACGTGAACTACTTCAGTACTTCTTGGAAACCCATGCGCATCAAATGATGTTGAGGATTATGGGATTTAGGCGTAGTTCAGAAATATTTTGTCATCTCTAGTGTTACATGTTTATAATCGCCTCATAAATAAATAAATTCAATACGCAGTATTTTTATGTATTGTGTATATATTTTGTTTATTAGTAAAAATTATAACATCATGTTAAAAAATTAAAAAAAAATATTGTTTTGAAAATATAAAAATATTGCACAATAAGTAATATTTTAAAATTAAATTATTTTAATTGTTTACATTGGTTTGCAGATATTGCACATGAATTGTTTATAATAAAATCCTGGAGAGGGGGAACAAATACTGGAATCTATAGACAAAATAAAATACGCGTATGGGTTTATGTATAAATATATTTAGCTGTTAATGAATGTTCTGATTACGTTTCGCAAAGCAGTTGCATATTTCGTGCAGTGGCATTAAAAAAGTTTCCTTGCTCTTTCCAACTACCTTGAGAAACATAAGCTCCTTGTTGGACTTACGGCTACTAAAATTAAACGTTTTTTGAAATATTCATATTTATATATAAAACTAGTACAATTAAATAATATTGTTTTATTACATTTAATGGAGAAAAACTAAATGCGATAGCTTGACGGCCAAGTTGTCTGTCATCAGTGGCCTTTTTTATGGCAAATATCCCAAAGTATCTTCGAGGGAGGCACTCACCGCCCGCATCGATTGATAATTGTTCTGGAAATTCTCTCTTAGAATTATGTCGCGGGTCTTGCTCTTTCCGCTATGCACCGATGCCGCCCGAGCTATATTCTTCTCGATGTAGCTCAATTGCTTGAGGAGATCATCAGCACTGCACGACTTCTGCGAAGAACTCGAGGACAGGGACTGCAGTGGCACAGAATTCATTTCATTTCGTCTGCCAATGCTGAACGATTCCCGTTTTCGATACGATTGTGACTGCTTGCGCGATGCCACTGAATAAGAACGACAGCTACCACCTCTATTGTTCGCATTGGAGCAGAGACTTTTAATGTCGGTCGTCTGACTCAGTTTGACATCGGCAAATATGGCAGCAGCTTCGACGCTCTTTTTAACGCTGAGTGCCTCATGTGATTGTACGGGTTTGGTGTTTCCGTTGCTGTTAATGTTGAAGAGTTCATAGTCGACTCCGAATTTGTCGTTTGGCTTACGTGTAGTGGAACGTGATCGCCGTGATTTGTGAGATTTGCTTTTGTGATTGGCCTCCATGGCTCTGGAGCCTGGAGGGTTGTTTTGTTCAATACGCTTGCAATAGCATTTACTGGCGCTAATACAGCTATCCGTATCGCACCAAGTGGTATCGGAATGGGTGTGAGCTGAATCATCTTCGGCAGTAGTGACCTGATTATCCTCCTCCACCAGGGAACAGTAGCATTTGTCGTCGGATTTGCAAGAGATAAGCGATTGCCGATTTATGTTGGTATTCTGAACAACACGTTTCGATGATCTACGCTCGTTGCGGCGCCTTAATTCGTTTTCGTTCATTTCCTCGGTGCGTAAACTGCAATAACAACGATCCGCCGATGTACATGTACACGATTCGGAGTCATAACTGCACTCGGAGCAGGAAACGTACCTAAAGGTTTTAAAAAACAAATGAAAAGGTATTAGATCTTAGGTGGTTAACAAAAATATTCTCAAGGCGTTGGCGTATGCTATCGGAAAAAAGAAAGGTTGTTGTTTTATGAAACCGAACCTGCATGGTACATACCCGCTGCTACTATTCCGATTTAGACCTGGAAATGCATTCTCGTGACGCACCAATGACACATCGGAGCCACTTGTTGTTGCACGATTCCGTTGATTGTGGGGATGGGACTGATGGCTTCGTCCATGATTGGGGTGGGTGGATATTACCGTGGGAGGGCCAATGACAATGGGTGGATCAGACTGGCGATGATTTGCCAACTCTTTATTACGTGGAGGTTTCGGTGGCTTTCCACGACAGGAGCGAAACTGTCCTAACTGAAAAACCTTCTTCAAACTTTTTGTGCCAAAAATAGGGGTTTTCGGTTTCTTCTAAATGAAATTAAAAATGAATATGCTTTTAGTTTTTAATTATCGAATATTGGTTTAACAATCTTACTTGGGGTACATTTGTGTACAGCTTCCGCTTTAGTTTCTTCTTCTTCTGGCGACGCATTATATTCTTCGACCTTTGAAAGAGTTCGTCTTTTGTTAGGGTCACCGCCAGCTTAAGCAAGAACTCCTTATAGATTGGTTTCAAGTCATTGAATGACATACCGTCGGCATCGATGATGGCATTCAAAATGTCATCCAGCGAGTGGAGGTTCTCGTGCAAACGGAATTCATTGAAGAGTTCGCTGAAACCAAGTGGTGAACTAGAAACATTGAAATGGAAGTAAGGGGCGACTTTTTTTCGTAATTGAACAGCAATACTACAAACAAACAATTATATACATTGCAGTGTTATATGTGATTTCGGGGCATTAAAGTGGCACAAACTGAAGGTGAAAAAGTTCAACCATGCATAAAACATGTGTGGGTCAACATCGGATGAAGTTAGGCAATATGAAGCTTTTGGCTCCGTGGACCAAAACAGACTATGGGGGTGTTTACCGAAAACAAATAACAACCATGGAAATTTCAAAAACAAATAACGTTACGGTGCAGATCCTAAACAACTAAGTACCGGATGGTGAGGTTGATCTGCCTACGAGTCACGTCCCGTGGTCATCATGCGATCGCAAACATCTCCTGCAGATGTTGGTGTCATGGTATCTGTAGTCGAAGGTATTGTTACGAATCTGAGTTCAAGAACCACAGGGGACGAGCAAACTCAACCCAAACATATGAGGCAGTTATGGATTCAAAATCAACCCAAGAATATAACAGCAAGTGAATGCTCAGAAGCACAAACCTGGCAATCCAAACACTTCCTTGGAAGTGGTGAAAAGGATTAGGAACGCCAAATCCGCAAAACAGAAAAATATTCCCGTCCACTGGTAGTAAGGGAAGACAACCTACCGATTGTGGCGATGCCGATTCTAATATCGAGAAGACGATCACTGTATCCGAATCTTCCCCACAAAACAGAAATGGCTAACCGGATTCACGTAAGGGGAAGACAGCGGCAACAGATGTTAAGGAGCCGCCATCTTATGCTAAGGCTATAATTCATTGGTCTACAGAACAGGACACTCCTAGTGAAAAAATTGGAAGTCTTCCACAGGGAGGAGAATGAAGATGGAACTCTACTTGTGGTGAGCCTAGACAGTTCTTCAATGGCAAGTCTGATCAAGACTAAGGGCAAGGCGCACTACGTGTACAACGCAGTCTACTTCAAAATTTTTGAAGGCAAGGATTGGAGAAAAGGAGGCCAAGAAGAGATTCGAGGTAGAAAATCTAAGCAACAAAGGGGAGAGAGCCGATGAGAAGATTACCGACTACCAAGAGAATGTCTCCGGATTAAACCGGATTAAACCCGACCAACAACTTGTATAATATGCCACAAAAATTTAAGTTTTCTCTTCTCCCCAGAGTAGTCAACATCGTACACGACCATACCGAAGTAAGGAAATGGAAACATTTACCTAGCATCAGTCTATCTTCCGTTTGACTCGCCGATATGACGCTAACTCACACCACATTGCGGGGGGTAGCACTAATACTAACAAAAGAGAGCAGGCCCTCTTATATGTTATCAATACTAACCATCTAATAATACTTAAGATAGGCAATAGATCAACCTTTGATAATAGAATTAGAGAAGAGGTATTAGACATAGCTTTATGTCCAGAAAACTTAATAGACGATGTTCAAGAGTGGAGAGTCTCACAAGAGTACTCTTTCTCTGACCATAAATATATTAGGTTTCAAATTTCACTGCCATTGTCAAAACCAATATTCTTCCGAAACGAGTCCAAGACTTACTTAGGTTAGGGCAGCCCAACTATAATAGCCTAAACACGGAAGACAGGAACGTCACGATTTAACGGTCAAAAATTTGTTTTCTAATATATGTACAGGTGTGTATGCACAATTGTGTCTCTCTCCAACATTCCCTCTTCAATAATGTACATTCTATCTTGCTTCCGTTATTTACTGAATGTTACTAATCTAATTCCATAAATCCATTATAGTACGTTTACATTGTACCGGATTTCGTTAACCCAGTGGGTTTCAATTGTCAATTCCATTGTATACATGTCGAATAAATCCTCATAGAGTAAGTTAACCCGGTAAAAAGTTCTAATGTAAATGCCGTTTTATTATCATTAAAGTTTTTGGTACTTACCCACCGCCTCCTCCTCCTCCACCATCATTTCCAATTTTATCAGAATTACGACGTGCTGCTCTCGATTTGTACCGCGTAAGACCTCCCGTATTAAGGAAGCTACCGGATCTGGGAATAGCAACACGTGTCAAAATATCTCCACTAGTATCACTGGTGCGCAAACCACCACCAGACGAAGCCATAGCAGCTGCCACCACAGCTGGAGGTGCACCATTACTCAAGAATTGTGATGCTTTGTAAACCGCATCACCGCTTATCTTTCGCGTGTGACCCATATTCATGTGTTTCCCATTATTGTCCATATTCTCGTGATACGATGACGAGGGAGAATTTCGATTATGCAGTCTCCTTGACATTTCTCCCGGTATAGTTGTGGGAATTGGTGGCGCTCTTTTCGATTTGTGAGATTTACGTTTTCTCTCTTCGGTCGAGGTCTCTGCTGCTTCATTGATAATATTGCTGCTGGAGCTTAGCGAACTATTCGCAAGACGTTTTTTACGACTTGAGCGTGAGGCAACTGAAGGTACATTTCCCAAACTGCCGTTAGTGCTGCGGAATGAACTTTTTCGTCCAGCCGAAACCAGTTGAGATCGGCTGTGATAATTAGAACCGGTAACGGCAGAGCTACTGGCAATACTAATACAACTCACACCGTTTTGATTACGCGGGGTACGCCGTTTGGTGCTGCGATGTGAATTGGAGCTGACATGAGCCATGAGGCTTTGATATAAAGTCGCGGCAATGACAATGGCATCTTCGGTACTTTTACAAATGAATGCATGGCATTCCAAAACTTTGGGTTGTTCGGCAGATCGCATAACGACCGCAAAGATGGGTGCATGCTGATTGTTGGCCAAACGTTTTTGTTCCGACACTCTGAAATTACAAACGTTTACTTATCCGTAGCTTAGAGCATATCTCCCTCCTACTTACGTTAATGGCTGAAATAGAAGACTTTTATCGATATTTTCGGGTGATGTAATAAGGGGCAGGAAAGCAGCACCACCATCTTCTTTGGACACTGTAAACTTTACCGCAGACCATACGGCAATATTGTGAAAAGGTGTAATATCACCTTCAATTGTCGACTTGGAATTGTTTTCATTTTTAGTGGAAATTTTCACACGGAGTCCCGTGGCGCAGATATCAAGAAAGCCGGTGTTTCGTTTCTGAAAAAAATAAACGTCATATAAAGGTCATCTTCTTCTTTTGAAATCAGATTCAGGTGCGAACTTACCTCATCGTTAATTTCTTTTAAATACAATTCCCTCAGAGGCTCTTGCAGACCCTGCAAACTTGTCACTTTATCCTTAAGTGGCAATGACCCCAGACAGGTAACAGCAAAACTACTGGTGGCATCTTTGGCCACATCTGTGAACAATTGTTCAATTTGAGCCTGGACACTGTTGCTGATGCGCTGCACATCTTTTTTGGCATTGTCTGCCAATATTTTGGCCGTTTCATTGGACTCTTGCAAATAGCTTGTTATGGATCGTGAACTATCGTTGGCAGTGCTGGCCAACTCACTGCGTCCATACATAATTATGGATCGGGTTCTGTGCGAGCCATGTGGATCATCGAGGCGATGACTGCGGGTAGATCGACTGGAAAAAAGTAAATAAAAATACTCGTTAGATAAAGTAAACCAAGATAATATTTGCTCAATGAAAAATGCTTATGTAGAAACATAGGCAAATACTTCACCAAATGGAAATATTCTTTATTGTAGCATTCTGATGTTTGATATTCGTTTATTGGAATTTATTAGGTGGACATTTGTAACTCAATGACATATATCAGAGGAGGAAAATATGACATTTGTTTACAAGTGCCTTGTTAACTATCCATGGTGTAAGTCCACCAGCGAAATTCTCAATGAAGAGGTTTCTTTGGTTACCTAAATGCGTTACATGTCGCATTTGGGTATAAAAAGCTTTTTGTAAAGAGGTTATTAAAAACAGCCTCTGTGGGAGCACCCCCATCAATAAACTGTGGGAACCTATGAGGACCCGAGAATCTTTAGTCTTCTCAGGCTTACCACTTGGTGAACATTTGTATATTTTCTCTACTTCACGCCAATTTTAAATACAAATTGGAAGTCCGACTAACGTATCTCAAATTTATGAAAAGAGAGTCTCTAATATAACAAGCTGGATTAAATACTATTTAATGTGATGTGTTGTAACGCCACGAAATACCGGTCCTAAACCCACCTCGACTAGCTGAGTCGATATAGACATGTGTGTCCGTCCGTCCGACTGTCCATTATAACTTTAAGCACGATACAGGCTACAGTTATAGCCAATCTTCACGAAATTTTGCATGGAGGATGGGTATTGGCCAATGACGACTCCTATTGTTTTTGGTAAGGATCGGTCGATATTTAGGAGATGAAATGTACCAAATACTAAATTTTTGTTAGTTTTTCTGGGCGCTCCAGAGGTCGCAATTATGGCCCGAACATGGAGGAGGGGATCTGCCCAAAGAATGCCTGTTTTTATAAATATCGGTATATCCGAAAGAAGTGGTTGACCTTTAAATTGATAATGTGGGAGTTACACTTAAATTTCAGATGCGTACCTACTCAGATATTATTTAGTAACCCATTAACACATAGAGGGAGAAAATATAACGCTGATCGCTTTGAAATTTTCCATGAAGTTCCAGTTATGGTCAAGGACAACGCCTATAATTTTCGGTGATGATTAGGTTATAATTTTGGGATGAAATAGATCTAAAATTTATGTTTTTGTTTTTCTTCGAGTCGATCTATAGTCCACAATTATAAGCCGAACATCACAAGGAGGGAGGGTACAAATATCACGAAATATTGTCCAGGCTCGGAATAAACATCCGCAGAAAGTTAGAGTTCCGTAGTTGTTGTGTAGGGTATCGTATGGTTGGCCCCGTCGGACTATACTGCTCCAATCACTGGTTTTAGAATAACACTTTTGCACAATATTATTTAAAATATTTGGAAATTCGTACTAGAACGGAACGATAAATATTAAATGTGGCACCATTAGCATTTGGCGAACTGGTAGAGCTAGAACTCTGAAGTTTGGATTGAGGGACATTGTTGGTGTGTAGGATAAATGTACCACAAGTTTTTTTTTTCAAAATTCGATCTATAAGTATACGAAAAGTAGAGCTAAAACTTGAAATTTGGGATGCGAATCAATTTTGAGAAGTAGGATCGATATCGTCGGAGTGTATATTGGGATATGTAGGTAGTTTTTGGTAATTACTCTTATGAGTACGAAAAATACTAAATGATACTATTTTGGTACAATTTTGGACCGAAAAAAAACAAATTTTGTGTTTACTTATGGCACACCAACCAAAATCGAGCAGATAATGAAGCACCCTGCTCTGTTTATATTATATTTTTACTATTTAGAATGGTGTGTTTTGTACAGTATCAGGTTCACTTGTGATTCTAATACTATTTCTTCCAAAAAAAGTTTTAAGATTTTCTACGAATGTTGTGATATTGATGTTTAATTTGAAGTGAACATATTTTAATTTTATTTTCCTTTAAATAAAATCCCTAATATTTATGTCACTTTCTAAGGTGTAAAATTGTTTTTACGTCTTTTGCAATTCGGACCTATGGGTGAGGGTATATCATAAACCTTCGAGCGTACATAAAATAGTAGACTTCTTTATTTTGAAAACCTTACGCCCAACTTTCATTGCCAGCCAATATTTTATGATTTTATTTTCGTTTTTTTTGGAAATGAAAAGAATAACATTAATAATTAAGCGTTTTTTGATGAATGTTTATATTTTTATTACAATACACACTATACTAAATATTGTGGCAGTTAAACAATAGCAAAGCAACAACTAACAGACATACATACATTTATCTTGAAAATCATGAAGAAGAAGAAGAAAAACACTTAAACGAATAAACAGTTAGCTCTATCTATCACGTCTAAACTACTTTTGCTTAACAAATATCTGGAGATTATGGACGGTTCTAAGCGACCCTAATTTTTTAAGCAAAACAATCAAAAGCTCAAAACAATGGCACCAACAACAGATAGATCACCACGAAAGGTGAACACAAATGCGAAACACATGCCAATACATCGAAAGCGTTCAGATTGCTTTGCTCTTCACGGCAACATAGATAAACCGAAAATAAATATATGAAGAGATTATTAAATCGTTGAAGATGCTGTTGAGTACAATGGTCGAATCGTCACATTGATTCGGTTTTTGTGTGTCACATAGCGGTATTGATCGTTATCTGGATTGTGCTATAGCAAATCGGCCAACACTCACTGCAAGCAATGGGATGGGGTTGGTTGATTGGTCTGTCTGTCTGTCGGTTGATATTGTTTACCGCCATGTATCATGGTGATATTTCTTTTCTTGTTGTTTTGAAAAGAAAATCTATTTCAGACCATTTGATTATTCCGGTTTTGAATTTGGTTTGGATACTATTGTTGAAACTAATGCGTAGCTGAGAAGAAGAAATTTATCAATATATAAATGCCACACATATGGTATTAGAATTAGAATTTAAATTTGTCATGTCGCCTGAATACACTCCAAATTTTTGCCACGATTATAACGACTGTTATTTTCATATTCCAAAAAAAAAACTAATAATTTAATGTATTTTTGTAGAGAATATAAATGGTTCGTAAATAAAGATTTTTTGCATATTAATTCAAATGAATTTATTTACTACTGAATATTTCACTTTATATCAAAAATTAATAGCCCAAAAATGTATTATAGTAGTGTGGTGCCAGTACCTAGTTATGTTACGTTCCGCATCAAACAAAATCTACCTCGGGAATATCCTTCAACTAGAAAACAGCTTGTTAAGTAAATTTGTCAAAAAATTATTTTTGATAATACACTCGAAATCGCTTATACTGACCGGTATGTTGTTATAAGCGGTGTCTTTGTCTTTGTATTGTCTTTGTAATTAACGAGCAGAGTTAAAAAAATGACTGTGTTTACATTTTTGGGATAAAATATTATGAGACTCTCTATATATTGCCCTTGAAGAATTATATTACAATTTGTTGTGAAAAACATTAATTAAATGGAAAATAACTTCGCCATTTGGACGCGTTTAATTTGCATATTAAGTAATATGTTTTTATTTCAAGATAATTGTTTTTTTTAATGATTTTGAAGAAAAATTCACTGGCATTATCTGGATTAAGTCAATTAAAATTACCTAATGCAAATCCGGACAATATTACCCAAATACGCATTGCGTATCGAAATACGGAAGACCGAAGATATAAAAATATCAAAAAAAAAAAAAAAAAAAAAAAATCGAGAATTTTTTTTTCTTATATGCGGGGTTTTCTTATATGAATGTATTTTATGTAATAAACTGTTTTCTTATATTTTCTTAACCACACTGTAGTACAGGGTATTATGTCTTTGGGCATATGTTTGTAACAGGCAAAAGGAAACGAAATAAACCCATGGTTCCTTTTGAGAATATGCATAGAATCACTTTCTGAGTCGATTTATGCATGTCCGTCCGTCTGTAGATGTTAAATTGTAAACAAAGTACAGGTCGCATTTATAATCCGATTTGGATAAAATTTTGATTGGCCCAAGGACGAACCCTATTGAAAGTGGGGAAAATCGGTTTAGATTTAGATATAGCTCCCATATATATTTTCGTCCGATTTTACGTATATGGTGCACCAATATCTCTATATATCATTCGATTTGCACGAAATTTGGCACAGCGTACTAAATTAAGTCTAGAATAATGTGTGCTAAGTTTCGTGAAAATCGGTTCAGATTTATATATAGCTCCATATATATTTTCGTCCGATTTTATGTAAATGGTGCACCAATGTCCCTATACAGTATTTTTCGGTTAATTGCACATCAAAATTTGCACAAATTTTTGTTCAATTAACCGAGGAACCAATTATCCGAACACGCTTAATTGAATAGTTTGTTCAATTACAGTAATCATGTATAATTGGAACTACTAATAATTTAAAAAAAAAATTCAATGTCAAATACAAATTACGCTTTCTCGCAGTTTTTCCTTAGCAATAAACATATGTTTTGAATTAGTAGAGGTCCCACCTAATCCTTTTCACAAATTATGTCAAATATGTTTGTAAAAAAATGACAGATTATTTCTCAATTATTATTATGCAATTAACCGGTGAAAAGTAAAAGGAAATTTATTTTTGATGGCATGCATTTTGAACCAATTAAGCGGGAAAATCAATTAACCGTAGGGTCAATTAACCGAAAAATACTGTATATCATTTGATGTGGACGAAATGTGGCATAGCGTACTGAATTGAGTCTAGAATGATGTGTGGTAAGTTTCGTGAAAATCGGTCCAGATTTAGATATATATTTGCATCAGATTTAAAATAAATGGTACACCAAAGTCCCTATATATTTTCGATTTGCACGAAATTTGGCACAGCGTACTGAATTAGGTCTAAAATAATGAGTGCTAAGTTTTGTGGAAATCGGTTCAGATTTAGATATACCTCCCATATATATTTTCATCCGATTTTATGTAAATGCTACACCAAAGTCTTTACATATCTTTCGATTTGCACGAAATTTCTTCCGATTTTATGTAAATGGTGCACCAAAGTCCATATATATCTGTCGATTTGCACGAAATTGGGCATAGTGTAGAATGATGTGCGAAAAGGTTCGTGAAAATCGTTCCAGATTTAGATATAGCTCTCATATATATATTTCAATGAAATGAAATTTAGCATAGCTTCCAGAAAGGCATAAAGATATTATATTCAAGTTCGTTCAATTTCATGCCTTTGTTCTTTCGAAAAGGCGGAGTCTGTTACATATGTAGAATATACCCAAAGTGGTGCAGTGTATTATATAGTCGGCCCAGTCCGACTTTACTAGTTTCATAATGAATTTTACAACATTTGTAAGAAGAAATTTATGATTTGTGGATCAACAATTATCTAAATCAAATTCCCAATTCGATTTTCAAAAGAAACCCTGGCATTCTATTAATTTTTCGCGTTTCTAGTAAAATGTTTAAAATAGGTCAAATGAACAGAAATTCTAACATTATAGTCCACAACGTAGAGTTGTATTTTTTCTTTGTTGACAAAAGATAACCTACCTTGAATAATTGTACCATAATAAAAATAAAAAATTGATAGATTTTCATTCATGTTTTTCAATTCTCGATTTTAATTTTTCAAGATTTTCAATGGGCTGGTAAATCAATACCAATGCTTGATAAGGTTTGTAACTTTGCACATATATAATTGAAGATTTAAAAGAGAAGAAAAATACAAAATACAAAAAAAATTTATTATTGTTTTGTTGTTGTTTTTTGTAATTAAAGAAAAGTCCTTATTTTTTATGGCGGCCATGATAACTCCTCACTGGAACATCGGAATCCGAAAATTCCAACGGTGTTAGAAAGAGTACATGTCTGGCTCTCGTATGAACTATTGACTTCGCTCTAAAACTAACAAAATGGTTGACCTTTGAAAAAATATTTTTGGAAAATCGCCGATTTTTTTACCAAAAACCAAGTTAAAAAATAAGGAAGATCTTCACCGATTGGCTTTATCCTAGTTCATACGAGAGCTATACACTCTCAGAGAAACGTTGCAAAATTTGGAACCGATTGGATTATTAGTTTTTGAGTTATCGTGCCCGCCATTCACAAAAAAATGTTTAGAGAAAAACGCGTTTAAAGTTTGAGAAGCCCTTCAGCCGTCACTTGATGCTGACACAATAAATCGGATATATCTTGAAGAGTTCTTGAGATTTTTATTTGAAATTTTGTAGAGACATTATTTAATCAGTGTAGATTCGAATTATATCAACAAAAATTTTGACCCCGAGAATGGGGGGGGGTCCCCTTAAATGACAAATTTCCATGTGGCTGTTGTATCGTTTGTTGTACAACAACACTTGCTGCTACCTTAAATTGTTATATCATGATCAATAACGTGGCACAATTGTCTACAATAAAAAATAACCCTCCACCTTGAGGCTTGTAATGTCAGAATAAATAAGTACAAATGCAAGAAGTCGTTGTGTTATTTTTACATATTTTAAACACATTAGTAAAAATGTGAAATTGAATATCGGGATTTCTTCCCAATATCAAATTGGAAATATAATTATGATACTGATTCATCTCGCCAATTTCTTCCTTACGAACGTTGCAAAATTCATATTTATTTTCACAAATATTATTTTCAATATTTGTAATTGTAATTTAATATTCAAAATAAATTTGAAAACGTGATTGGAAATCTATAAAATTGGTAAATGTAATTCACATCTTTCACGTTTGAAATATATATGAAGGCTGTGTCGATGCACCATTTACCTAAAATCCAACGAAAATATATATGGGAGCTATAACTAAATCTGAACAGATTTCAACAAAGCTTGACAGAGTGTAATTTATATTAAATTCCGTACATTGTACAAAATTGTGTGTCAATCGTACAAATTTTGGGAAACTTAGCACATATCATTATAGACTTAGTTCAGTATGCAGTGCCAAATTTCGTGGAAATCCGATGATATATAGGGACTTTGGTGCACCATTTACATTAAATCGGACGAAAATTTATATGGAAGCAACATCTAAATCTGAACCGATTTAGATTTAGCTCATCCAAATCGGATGATAAATGCGACCTGTATTTTGCGATTGCGCTGTGCAATCGAACAAACGTTAGTTATTATTATATATTAGTTATGTATAAATATAAAAGGGCTTGAACGAACAATAGTTTACTCATTGGGCAAAATTAATTGCTCTGAGGGTAGACAAATAGTAAAACAATGACTTACCTTGTATCGTCAAACATTAAATCGATTTTCAATTTGTAGACTGAATTTCTGCTAACACTGGACGAAGATTCCTGATTATCGCTTTCCAGTAGGCGCAAAGCTGATGAATTACTGCCGTTAGCTTTGCGAGATCGCACAGAGTTCATCTTTTGAATTGCAACAATTTGATTGTCAGATTTACTTGTAACCATTCTTAAGATCGGAACTACAGATCGATCGCCGCTTGAAAATAAATGAATTACTAAATATGCGGAAATTTTCAGATCCACAGCAATAGTAAAATGGGTGTTTACTTTCTTAGTGTAGTTGTTGTTTTTTTTTTGCACTTTAAGTTGTTTTTTTTCGTCTGGTTAGTTTTGCTTCATCCATCCACTCAGTCAATGCATCACATTTTAATTAGCTGCACTTCAGTTCAGTGTTGTTAAATACTTTAATTAATTAACAAGAAATGCATTTTCCTGGCTGCTTGCTGGTCGGAGCTGTTTTGCATGCGATAATTGTTGTTGTTGTTTCTGGGTTTCTTTTTTACTTTTTATTTTTCTGAACTGGAAAAAAACGACAGTTGCACTATAGCCGGTATCCACTGTAAAATAACAAGTGTTGCAAGCAACTAAACATTAGACTAGATTGATGAATGTTTGGCATTTACATCGAGTTGGAGTAAACTAGGTTTCAACACACACCAACTAGCCAGCCAGTCAGTCAGCTAGTCAGCCAGTACATAAATAAGTAGCTAGTAAACGCTAATAAATTTGATATTTTGAAAATTTATTGTTAATGTTTTTGATTTCGTTTTTATCGAGATGCAAGGTGCATGTGTGTTTGTTTCTGAATCTTTTGAATTTTTGTTTTGTTTTTTTTTTTTTAATATTTCTATGTATTTTGTTTGTGGGCTCGGGCTCCACTCACACTCGTGGCCAGAGGTTTGCTTGGTTGTTTGGTTTTATGTGCAGGTGGTTATTAATTTTCGTTCATAATTTGCACTACAATGGAATGGAATCACTGGAATCGGTTCACTTTCACTCCAGTCATTTGGAGTGGACCGAACGAACGGCGGACCGACAATTGCAGCAGTTTGGCTTGACTGCAGAGTGAGTTGCTTAGCTGTCGGTTTGGTTTGGTGGGTTTTGCGATAATTAGACAACAAAATTGAAAAATGCATAACACCGTCGAGAACAGGTCCAATCGCGCGAACGAAGATTAATGGAGTACATATTTGTTTTATCTCATGTAATTGTTTTGTTGTGGGATATTTTCCACTAAGTCTCGCAAATTCCGCACTTTTTTAATTTCCTCTAAAATTAGTTTTTTGTCGTGTTTTTGTTTTTTGTCTACAACGATTTGTTATGGATACGATTTGTTTGTTTGTAAATTTCCAACTTTTTCACTTTTTTTCAAAAAATATAATTTTTGAATTAAACCCACACTAGCTTGTGTTAAATATAATTGGTTTTATACTTGAGAAGATGCATTTCGAAAATAAAGCACGCACACACACAAACGAACATATTATACACGTTAATGTTAACCATTAGAGATTTCCTCCAGCGCGTAACAAATGAATGAAAACTCAAAGGTAAAACACATTTGGAAAGACGGCTAAGAAAAAAACTAGCAAGCCACTTTGATGTTGTGTTTTGTTTTGCTCTCTGAAAGCCGTCGTTTAGATACACGCGTTGTTGTCTTGACGAATGCGCACGCACAAATGTCGATGAGCTGTTCAGCGTAAAGCTGAATGAACCCGCGTCTAAACTACTACTCAGCTGGCATTATAGATGAATGGTCTAATGGACAGACCGACGGACAGACAGAGATACGTACATACGAGCGTAGACAATAGTAACTAGTTAAGTCAAACTCTGCCAAATACCAAACAGTGTGGCACAAAGAAGCTCCAGATGATAGCATGCATAGCATCTAGCATGCTTACTCAAAAAAACCCAAAAAACACCAAACGTATCTTAGCAAACGTTGAATGGACATGACAACGAACTGATAACAGCTGTACTAAGTGAAGAATATCTTAAGAAGATTTGAGTTCGTTTTCTTTTTCGTTTTGTTATTTTCTTTCGATATGAATACAAATGTTTGAAATATTTGTGGCAGATGAGAGTGAGGTTTGAATATATTATGCGGAAGTGGGTGTTTAATGCGATGAAATGCATCGACATCTAATCGTTTGTCAGGTGACAAACTAATATTTATATCAATAAAACCAGTGAGCGAAGCAGTATAGCTAGACGGAGACAACCATATGATACCCTACACAACTACCACGGAACTCTAACTCTCCACGGATCTATTTTCCGAGCCTGGGCAATATTTCGCAAAATTTCCGCAATTGTACCCTATTTCTTATCCTGTCATTGTTTTGGAATATTTTTGTCTGTTGTAATCACTCTAGCGTCTAAACGAATGGAGATAGATCGCCAAAATTTAGCATAGAGTCTTTTGTCTGCAGGCAGGTCAAGTTCGAAGATGAGATTTATCGGTCCACGTTTAGGCATAGCTCCCATATAACAGTACCCCCCAATTTTCGGTATTTTGGGGTTCTTGAGCGTGGTTTTCAACCGAATACACTGAAACATGGTACATTGAGTTTTGTGAATATTCCTAATTTTGTTTTTAATTTACACATAAAGGTATTGGTTGATTTGACCCGCTGAATATTGACCGATCAAAACAGCAATTCTAATTGGTTGGCCAGATTCCCTTCAAATGTGTTGTAATATTCGACGTATTATTGTGGCCTATAGAGCGACTTGAAAAAGAAATACAACAATTAAGTTTATGGTTACTGAATTTTTTTATTATGGTTTACATAATCCCTTTTTATTTCATCAATTAAGTTTATGGTTTATTTCATCCAAGAAATATTATCTGATCATCTCCGATCATAACCTGAACTCCGTGTAAAATTTCAAATCGGTCAGCGCGAAATATATGCCCTTTAGTATGGTAATGGTAATCAGAATAAGTAGATCTCAGTAAATATATACGAATAACTCCCGCATCCGAGTACATACAAAAACATGTAAAAACAATGTTAAGTTCGTCCAGGCCGAACTTTTTATACCCTCCACTATAACAATCAAAACATCTAAAATTAATAGGAGAAAACTCATGTTAAACGTGGGTCAATATTAAAAATTTTTGGTACGGAAATGTTCTATACAATTAAAACCCAAATACAAAATTACAGCAAAGTTGTTTGGAAATCGTGTCCAAAATCACCAAAATACTGAATACTGTGATTTACAGTTATAGGGGGATACCCTGAATCTTGGGTCAATATTAAAAATATTTATTACGGATATGTGTTATTCAATGAGTAACCAAAATACCAAATTACAGCCATTTCGGTTAGGAAACCTGTCCAAAATACCGAGTGTTGGGGAATACCGTTATATGGGAGCTATACAATGAGAACCCAATACGGTTGGAAAACGTGTCCTAAATCTTTAAATACCGAGTATTGGGGGTACCGTTATATGGGTGCTACGCCAAAACGTAGACCGATATATCCAATATCCTAGGAGTACTAGCAATGTCTGTCTCTATCGTGATTTCAACAGACGGACATGCGTAAATCAACATAGTATTCTGTTCTGATTAAGAATATATATACTTTGTGGGGTCTCCGCTGAATATTTCGAGGGCAGACGGACGGATACACTATATGGTATATAAAAGGTGGGCCTAGGCACACAAAGGTATAATACCCTGACAATATAGTAGTGTAAGTCACAGTCAGGAGAAAGTTCGAGCAGTGCCTTACATGGCTTCCACGGAGCCAGTGTCGTCATGGTAAGAACCAGTAAGGAACGGCTCTATGTCGGGATGTGACGATACACTCCTCCAATAGACCAAAATAGATTATATACGTGAGTAACATCTATATCTGAACCATAATAACGGACCAAGAATTTTTTATTACCAACTACTTTTTGTTAGGGGGTAAAGCATTTATTATTAGTGATTATTGAAAATCCTGACGAAACAGTTTGATTTTTTACAGGGATTTCATTGTTATCACAAAAAAAAAACATATTCGTGTTCGATAAGAGGGTGTTAGAAAATTGGAACTCCATATTCAGTATCTCTATTGAAAGTAGTCTAATATTGGGTTGGGGAAAAATAAATCCATTATGTTTTTATATGAACTATAGTTTAGTTCTTTGATTTTTAAAGGTAACTTCATAATGTCTCTTTCATAGAAGTCCTGCTCTCTATTTTCAAAAAACTCTAGTAGTCGATCACTACTAATTTTTTTATTATTAAAGAAATTTTGCAATGCAAGATATTTGTGCAACTGTATGGTTTAAAACAGTTGTAAGCCCTAGAAGTTTCAGGCGAGTTACTGTAGATGTGTGTTGTCTAGCGTTGTCCTGCTAACATGAATTGGCCAACAGGAGATTTGGCCATATTATCGACATTTTCGACAAACCCCAAACTAATATAACATGTTCATCAGTTGCAAAAAAAAAGATAGGTTCCACTTCATGAAAACAGCATAAAGTAACATTTTATATCATTTTATATTTATAGAATACATTTTGGAGTTCATTTATGCATGTCTGCCAGTCCATCCGTCTGTCAATGTAAAATTGCTAACAAATTACAGATTGTATTCATTATCCGAATGAGATAAAATTTGATACTGAAATAAGTATAAATCGGCTCATATACATATATGTTTATCCTATTCTACTTACACATCGTACCAAATTTAATATTTAATAACTGAAGGTTGAGTTTCGTTGTCTGTTCAGATTTACAGTTTCGACCGATTTTCAGTAAATGGCGCATCAATATCTCAATGTTTGTCTAACCGAGAGGATATTTTGCTCAACATGCCGAACTGAATATTGAATAAAGTGTGTTAAGTTGTGTTGAAATAGTTTAAGATTTAGATATATCACATAAGCGTATTGAATTGAGTATTAAATGACGCGTACTAAATTTTATGAAATCGGTACAGGCTCTGATTTTATAATCCATATTTTCGTCCGATTTCATGAAATTGTGCACAATACCCATCTTTTATTCAATTTATATGAAATTTTGAACAGCGCTCTGTTTTGTTTCGATCAAGACTGGCTTTGAAATTTAAGGGACTAGTATCATATATCTTTGTTTCAATTAAACATTTTAATTAAAATGTCACTGTTTTAGTGGAAATTACTTTGAG